GCGGCGGCGGCGGCAGCAGCGGCAGCAACGGCGGCGGCGATCGGAGGCTGGGAGGAATGGCCCTCCCGGGGGAGCCGGCCTTGCTCGCTGGGGTTGCCAAGGAAACGGGTGGGCCGCCCCCCTCCCCCGGCCCGGGGCCCCCTGCTGCGCCGGTGCCAGTGATCGAGTTGGTGCGCAACGGCCGCCCTATAAAAGTCAGGGAGGCGCCGCCCGGGGCCCTGCAGAGCCAGAGAGAGACAGACGCGAGCAGCAACAGCAGCAACAGCAGCATCGGAGCTCCGCGAGCCGAACCGGCCACCGTCACAGCTCTCGCCCTCGCCACCACCGCGGGTGCCGGAGCGGGCACGCCCCCGGCCGGTGGTGGCATCGGCGGCGGCAGCAGCGACGTCCGCATGGTGCACCTCAGTCCGACGGCAGCCCCTGCGCTCCCGCCGCCGGCCAGAGCCATGCTCTATGGCCTCGGGGCTCCGCTCAGCGCCGCCGCCAGCAGGTCCGTTGCACAGCCTGGCAGCAGGACTTTGGATCGGGGGTGGGGGGGATGGGGGGGGCAAACGGAACCGGGGGGGGGGGGGGGGAGGAAACGGTTCTCTGTTAGCTTCTGCTTGATGCCCGTCCCCAGAGGAAGAGATTCCCCCCCCCCCGCTGTCCGCCTGAGGAGTTTTTGGCCCACAGAGCCGTGTTTCATTCGCTTTTGCTTCTCTTCAGACGCAGCCGGTGGGTTTCGCAGTTTCGCTGACTCTGCCTTCTCTGCTTTCATGCTTTCTCTTTGTCCCCCGATTTTCCTTCTCTGGGTGGAAGGCCCGCTAGTGTCTCCTGTTCTCTTTGGCTGCGTTCTCTACATCTCCTCGTAATGGACTCTTGTTCAATAGGTAGATGCGGGTTTTTTATGAATGTGCCCACGCGTGTCAGTGCGATTTTCCTCCCTGAGCCGATGGCCAAAACACAAGACAAAACCCCGGTGGGCAATCGAAGCAAACCAATCTTCTCTTCTTCTTCCTGCTGTCAATCTATATTAAAGTCACAACAACGTTTTCTGCTGAGAGTAAGGCAGAGAAGACTAGGTTAAAACCAGCATGAAGTGCCCCGTTGTAATCTATATGCATCAGCCCATATAACCTGATGCCTTCTAAATGTGTGGGACTCCAATCACCCTTGGGCACATTGTTTGGATGGGGACGGGCGTTGTATTCCATAGATCTTGGAGACACCACGTTGGCAAGGTTGGTACAGATCATTTATCAAAATGTGGCAGGTTTGCAGCAAAGATCTTTTAAAATATTGTCACCACCACCGCCCCATTTTACCCTCTTAAACCCGAAATGGTTATTTGTAAGAGATGCAATATTTGTAATAGCATAAAAGCATAAATATGGGGGAAATGCCTGAATCAAAGCGGGGGGGAAAAAATCATTCTAGAAATTATGTTTAGTGTTAATGGATGTTTATTCCTGGTTGTCATTATTAATTAGGCAATCATTTCTCCCCTCCCACTGCAGAAATGCAGTACACATTAACATACATGTATTATACATGTTAGGAATGAACACCATTTAAAACATAAAGGGTTAGGAAAGGTATGAATAATGATTCTGGAAGCTAAATGCTGTAATCCTGGTAATTGTCTGATGGACCAGACAATTCTTCAAAATGTGCTTCAAAATGTATTTTAATTCTTCTGTTGGAAATGCTTGATAAGTGCCGAACCCTGTTATGTTAGTCATCTGGATATGAAAAGCATTTATTTAGATTTCTTGTTATAAAATTGTTTCATGCGAAAAGTGGCATAAACATTGCCCACATATGGTACACAAACGGCAACAACAAGCAACATACCTATTGTGGGAAGTGTGCCTATTGTGGACATTCTCAGCAGTTAGAAAACCGTGTTGAGACTCTAATCCTCACTGGCGGATTTACCACCACCAAATTCAATTGGGCTATTTTTTTTTTTAAAAAAAGATTGAATGTTTGTTCAGATTGCAGTTGAATGATGGATTTGAGCAGATATCTGCAGAGCTAATTTCTCTTCCTCGCCCCCTTTTCTGCTTTTTCCTTTGCAGTGGATTTTTTGGTGAACCCGAAAACTTTTCAATGTATAACAACAACCGAGTGAAAAGAAGACCATCCCCCTATGAAGTGGAGCTCTCTGATGGTGAGCTGATTTCTCCCCACTCACAACATCCCCCCCCCACCCACCCAATGTGCTTCTTTGTGGGTAGTATGGCAGCTAAAGACTAGCAATAGCTATTTCTTTCCTTGTATTGCTGGGTGATGGTGGTGGGGGAAGGGGGGTTGGGGTCTTCAGAGGCAGGAAATTCTTGCATAGTGCAATTTATAGCTCACAGCTTGGACTTCCAACAAAATGTTGCAGTATTGTGTGCTTTGGTTTGGATTTCTAGCCACTTATGCCCTCTTCATAGATAACCAGAAGCCATAATTCCATGGTTATTGAGTAGGTTATTTTGTTCCTGGGCTGTTGGGATCAATATAAATAAATAGGTAGGATGGATGGATAGATAGATAGATAGATAGATAGATAGATAGATAGATAGATAGATAGATAGATAGATAGATGATAGATAGATAGATGAGAGACAGAAAGAGAGAGACACACACAGAGAGATTGTGGCTTTATGGCTCCTTCAGAGCTGTTCCTGTAATCTGTAATTTTATTTTTTAAATGTAATCTGTTAATGTTGAAGGAAGGACAGTGCTTGGAGCTACAGGTTGCAATTCAAATATTCCCTTATTTTCTTCATTGGGAGGAATTCTCCCTCCTGTCATACATCCATTCCATACCCCATTGGCCTGCTGTGGTTAGAGGAATGAATTGCAATAAAGCACCAGGTTTTGTGCTGGCATTTTGCAAACTGCAGAACAGAGAAAGCCCAGAGGATCGAAAGGTAGATTACTGGGAGTTAATAGTTTGGAATTGCAGATGGGAAGGAAATAAAAAGGACAGCCTCATTTCTTAGCCCAAATGGCAGAAGGAATCTGATTGCACCTTTTGAAATGATCGTATTCCATTAAAAAGCACAAAAGCTACAACTCCCTTCAACAGATGCATGTGGTGGCTAAATGATAGAGGGAGTCTTCCCACTCCGTCTCTTTTCATTTCATCCCAATTTAAACTCATTTTGCATGGGTTTTGCTACCTGACACATTTGATGAAATGAGTTGTAGCTTATATCTTGCTAGTCTGAAAAGAAGCAACCAAGTTCCTTCTGGTTTTTACACTGCCCTAGACTTACACAATTCTCTAGGTGTGCAACCACATTTGGTCTGTAACAAATAAAGGTAGAAATTGGGGAGGTCTGGCATCTATTTTAAACTCTCTCTGCAACTCCCAATGTATTTAGCCTCTCCTGGAGTTTGTTTATTAATTCTGGAACTTACTGAATGTAAACGCAAAGATGTCATGTTATGCCTTTGAAAGTTAAAAAAAAACCTAGGGGAAAATGCATTTGATAAATGCATTACATTCTGCATTACCACGTAGAATGGCTTCCAGGCATTCAAAAGCAGAGCAAAAAATTAAGTGAAGGGTCAATGCAAGTAAAGATTTAGTTCGAAGGCATTTTAGATTACACAGCTGCCTTCTGTACTAAAAGCTTTAGTGGCTTTTGTCTAATTTGTCTTTCGTTTTGATGAAGGCATTGATCCAGCAAATGTGCTATACATTTTTTTAAAAAACTAGTCATTTGTATTCATCTTAGTTATGGATTAGGTTTATATGAATGTTTGATGCTCTGAATCAGTTTGGACTGATTCACAGGATCAGATCAATGGATCCATTGGTTCAGATCGAACCATGGGTGCCTGGAAGGGCTCAAAAAAGTATAGAAGGCAGCTGCAAATGAAGCCCCACCCCCCTTTTGTGATACATATACCAAAGGGGCAGGGCTTCGATCACATGGATGTGGTTGCCAGCTTTACTCTTTTGATCTGCCTCTCCATGGACATTCTTGAACTGAACACATTTGAATCAAATCAGACCAATGTGGACATTTTCCACGCATGGATGTGTTACATTTAATGTTCTAAATTAGCCCCAATTGAATGCAATTGGATTTATCTAAGATACAGGTGTCAAATTCTCAGCATCACGTTGCTGTCATGTGACATATCGTGACGTTTTTCTCCTTTAAGGAGCTGGAGTGGGCGTGGCCTGCGCATGACATATCTGGGCGGCGGGCCACCAGTTTAACGCCCCTGATCTAAGACATTTGGTTTGAACTGATGCAGTGTTCATGTTTGCATAACCCTTGATCCATATACTCAGGATGTTAATATCAGTCTACAAAGTGTCAGCAACTCGGATTTTGTATAAGTAGAGTCTGTGCAATTAAGATCTACACTAATAACCTGGACTATATTCTGGACCGACAACCTCTCGGTATGGATAGGCCTCAATTGACAAGAGTCAAGAACACCTGTATTTGCTGTCTCAGCAAGGCCATGGCTTCAAGGGATGTAGATAGGCTCTGGGAGGCTAAAAGGAAGAGTGGACAATGTTGGAGGCTTGATGGGTCGGAAATTGTACAAGGGAGGAGTAAGCAAAGCCAACATCAGGATGAGGCTTTATGAACATGGAACAAAAGCTGTGGTCACAGCTCTAGCAACTGTTATTGAACAAGCCCTGACTATCATGTATTGCTCATTTGTTCAAGAGCTGCTAAGAAGAGATTCAATTATTATGATGAAGCTGACTTAGATATCCCAGAGCAGCCGTGCTAAACCTAGTGCTCTTCTGATATTGTGATTTGGTTTTATACAGCATCGCCAACAGGAATAGGAGACCGATATTTATATAATTCTAAATAAGCTCACTGAAAACAAATACCCCATGTTTATGGACAGCAAATCTCAGGTCAGATAAGACCTATCCTCTGTAATCTCAGAAGTGAGGTGATGTGATAATAATTTAAAAAAAAACAGATTTTAATTGAATATTAGAGCTATTTAACTTTGGGACCAGTTATTAATAAAGATGCTGAACTTTGCTTTGATGGGTTAGGTGTAATAAAGACTGGACAGAAATCTCTTGAGAATGAATTAAATTGGATTGCTTGATAGTGTGTTTGATAGTCTAAATGGCCTCTTCCAACTTTATTATTTTATCTCTCAGAAGATGAAATTATTTGGCCACTGTTTTTGAGAAAAAAATTGGGGAGACTTGCACTTTAAAACTCTTGAGGATGGAGAGTTGTAATTAGTCATTGCTTACTAAAACTTGCTTTTTTGTTTTATAGTTATCAGCCTTTCAAAAATCAGCATGTAAAAAAGTAAATGGGTCTTTGGGTGACAAAGCAGGAACTTGTCATTCAGTGTATTGCTGACCTCCATTTTCTCTCTGATGTGAATAGAGTTTTTGTGAAAATGTTTTTTTCCTGTTGTGTAGCCAGCGCAAGGAGTCACAAGCGAGAGCAATCTGAAATAAACTCAAATTAGAATGAAGACAATGCAATGATCATAGGGAGTAGATTTTGAGAGATAGATAGATAGATAGATAGATAAGAAAGAGAAAAGAAAGAGAGATGAGAGAGAGGAAGGGAGAGAGGGAGGGAGGGAGGAGACAGGCTGATTTGCCGCCAACTGACTCCTAACTGGGTTTATACATAATGTGTCCAAAGTAGGATAATTTTGAGCCTGGTGATTTGTGGTTCTAGTGAGAACTCTGGCTTGATTTTTCTGATGATTCATTTGTTCGTTTCCTTGGCCGTCCATAGTATTCTCAGGAATTTTTCAAAGAGAGTGGATTTGCAGATTTATTGTCATTTTAATAACTGCTTCATTTGCCTTCTAATATATTACTCATCCTCCTGGAAATAGAGAAATATCAGTGTCCACATTTTTCCTCTAGCTCCTCAAGCATCACAAAAATGCACAGGGATTTGTTTTAAACTGAGTGTAGCAAACATTTATTTCAAATGGACATTTATTCCTGTTCTCAACTTCTCTCCAATTCCAGCCTTTCTTGATTTCAGCAGTAGAATTTAAAAGGCAGGAGACAAATTCTATTGCTGTGGTAGTTAAAAAAAGAAAACATAAATCCTTGTCCGTCTATTGCTGATCATCACAACACCTAGCCATAGCCCTAATATACTTGCTCATCACCTGAAAATTCCATTAATATTTTAATGTTGAGATTTAGAGATAAAAGCCTTATGGGTTTCATCACTAGTAACTTGCTAGCAACTTCCTTGGTGAAATGAAATGAAGACTGCTCTCATTACTGCCATTACTGCAACAGCTGTCGCTGGTGATGCTAGAAATTAGAATGTACTAAAAGTTTATGGCATACATAAATTAATATTAAGGAAATGGCCACAGAATTTCAGGTATGGTCATTCATATCTTTAAGGCCCACATCCCCTGTCAGTTCTTTTTGCTTTTGATTGGCAACAGAATTAGAAACACAAATGCCAGTATTTACTTTGCTAAAAATAAGTGAAACTTCTTTTTAATACTTAAGTATGAACAGATTAAATTTCAAATGATCTGATATGTATACTTTTCACTCAGCAAATTTGATATTTAGATGAAAAATTTAAAACATTGTCCGCATTAATTTTTTTTTTAAAAAATGTTTGCATTATTTTGTAATAACTTTTAAAAGAATCTACCAGTGACATGGTGAGTACCAAAAGAAGGCATACAGAACCACTTTAAGATTCGGGATTTCTCATAGTATTACTTCAAAGTATTTAGAGTTAGATTCCAAATTATGGAGTTTAAGAGGGATTGGGGAGATACCTACCTAATTTGGAAATGTACAATTAAAATGCTAGTGAAATAGTATGCAAGCTTTCAAGACCTTTTAATACTGACTTTTGGTGAAAAGTTGGGACAATGGATGATTTACTACTTTAATGTCTATTCAATTAACCTAAGGCTTTGGACCAATGGAACAGCCACATGGACCAATCAAATTAAAGCAATATTAAGATATACATACTGTGAAATGTTAGTTCAGGAGAAGAGAAAAGGTAAAAGTAAAAGTTTTCCCTGTCCAGACGTGTCCAACTCTAGAGGGCGGTGCTGCTCTCTGTTTCGCAGCTGAGGGAGCCAGCATTGACCAAAGATGCTTCTGTGGTCATATGGCCAGCATGGAATGTTGTGACTTCTCATTGAAGTGGTACCTATGTATCTATTTGCATTTGCATGCTTTAAAACTGCTAGGTTTTCAGGAGCTGAGGAATGTAATGGAAGCTCACCCTATCTCGCAGTGCTCAGGACTTGGACCCAGGGCTGTCAGCTTTCCAGCTGACAAGCTCAGCGTCTTGAAACTGGAAGCTTTCATCCGAGTCTCCAATATACCTCCTCAAAATAAGCCTGTGCATTCAGGATCCATCAAATGCTCAAATGAAGGTTCGCAGCAGAGATTCTTCTGTCCCTGACAAACAATATAGAATATACAGGAATATTGGAACATAAAAAGGGAAAAAGATACAATATATAGTTACAGGAAAGGATGTAGAGCAATGAGAAATCTTAACCTGAACTGGCTGTCCATGGCAATTGTGGTGCCCCCTCAGAAACAAAGCTGATGAGAAATGGAAGAAGCAAAGGCAACTAATAGCAATATAATATAAAATTATAATTTTAATATGAAAAGAATAATGCTGATGCTTTATAGGAAACATAATCTTTAAAATCCATTTATTTTATAAGGTAAGTATCTCTTCTGCTTAAACCTCATATCCTAGAAGGGATGATGTGTGATGTTGTTCTTTTAGAATAAATACTGTGAAAAAGTTAACCATGAAATCCTTATAAAGCCAGAGGGATTAGAGAAAACCTATTGTAGAATAGATAGAATAATCCACATAAGAAACTGACGAGCAAATGGAATAAAAATTGATTTTCTCTGTTCATTAAAAATCTATAGACTAAAACCATGTCAGCTCAAGACTATGATGATAGCACATTTCAGTTTAAATACCAGATTAATGAACAGAATATTATAGAATATTGAAGTACTGAATACTCACAACACAAAATAACATTTCAGATAATTATATTGGGTTTGGTTTCTTTTCCAGAAATTTCATTTCTTTTCAAAATTAAAAAAACAATGATAACATATAAGGATATATTTGAAATGGCAATCAATCATGAAAAAGCACCCCTAAATTGTATTTGATTTTATCACATCTTCAAAAATCTGTTTTCTTATATGGGCAGTTATACATATGGGAGTCTAGGCTTGGATCATTTAAAAATTTAAAAATGCTATAGTTATGTAAAAATATTTACTAGAAAAAAATACATGTTAAATTTCTGAGGAAATAGTGACCATCTCAATATTTTCTGAAATCTTCTGCAACTCTGTTCAATTGACAGTCCAATGCTTCAAAGAATCACTATTGGTCTGTACTTATTTTTGGATCAATCCCTTACAGAAGACTATGTCATACTTCCATGCTACCCATTCATGCCCTTTTATATTTCAGTTGTCATGTAGTCAAGATAAGTGGTCAACATTTCTAAGATGTGCACAAATTATTCCAGAAGGTAGCTACACTTTTCAGAACAGATTTTTATTCTAGTTATCTTAGACAGTTGGAACTTCTTCTATTAAATATCTAATCATGATCTCTGGATCTCTGATGTGGTATATTTTCTGGTGTATAATAATATTAAATTCACATAGTCCTAAAATGAAGCTAAGTTTTTGTGTAATTTTCCAGCACTCGTGTCAACTCAAGATACTTGTATGGTTTTGCTTCCATTGGTTATCTCTATTCCTGATAAAAATGGAATTTAGAATATGGAGAACATAGGAGCAGGATGTTTCTTCACCCAAATATATTGATTATTTGTTTTTCTACCAAAGTATATATACACAGCCTTTCTAATGGCAGTGTATTACTAGACAGAATGTGTCTCATAACCATTTAAAGCCACAAAGGAATAAAAGTAGCACTATAAAATATTAAGACAATATATATACAGAGGGAAGTTATTAATAAGTAAACAGCTTTTAAACTTGTTAGGGAAAAGCCTGCCAGAATAGAAATAACCCTACCAGATTGTGAAAAATATTTGGACGGAGACTATCCATTCTTCAGAGAATTCCACAGTGTTGATGGAATCACCAAGGAAGGTCTTATTGGTTATCATCAACCATGTTTTCATGTCAAAGAAAATTTCCCAATAATAGAAAGCAAGCAGCTGGCATGGAAGAAAGCAATTGTTCTTGTAGATGGAGCCCAAACTCTTCTGGTCTTAAAAGGCAGACAAATTATGAAACTTGCAGGAGAGGTCTACCATGATTGCTATATGCTTGCTCAATCATTCTTGACCAATTCTGGTGAGTGATTCTAAACCATCTTGGACTTTGAAAAGTTATTCAAATAATAACAGGTTAAGAAGAATCTGTGAGGGTATAGGATAATTTTATTTAAATATTTATATGTTTCTGTCCAAGCCCAGGCCATCTTTTGGCCTCATTGAGGAGCTACTGGTATTGCTGGTTTCCACTGATATTAATATCTAGAGCTGCCATTTTAAATTTTCACCAATTAAGGAATATTTAGGGGTGAAAATTTACTGCTTTTTCTTTTCCTTCAGAACCCAACCAGGGTGCATCTTCATGTTAAATTTAATTGATCATTTTTTCTTCTCTTTTTGCACACTATTTTTTCTTTGTTGTTGTTGTGAGAGTTGATGCTTTTGTTTTATTTTATTTTGTTTGTTTGTTTTACACTTTTGTATTTTATTTTTTATGATAATATAATGAATATTATTAAACACTGATTATTTAGGCTCATTTTTAACTGTTTTGAATGGCTCTAGAACAGGGCTCTAGCATTTTGGGGGACCTTGAGCAAAATTCAAAATGGTGGGTTATCGTTATATGCCTGCAGCTGGAGGCTCACTGATGTAGGAGGATACTTTGAGAAAGGTATCAATTTCTGCAAGACAAAAATGACATGTCTTTTTCATGGCTGGCAAACCTCCTAACATCCAAATGTCTTGTTATTTTGTTTCTGCTATGCTTTAACATTTAAATTATTCTTACAGAACAAAATAATAATGAAGCCGCTTTATTTTCATATTTGTGTTGATGATTCTGATCCCAATTTATGGAACATAATTGATTTAACTTTAACCCCAACTTTGTTACTAATAGATGCATGTGTGCTAGCTAGCTGACATTCAGGCTGTTTTTCTGTCACTAACCTTGCGTTTCTGGTCTTCTTTAGGCCCTCACACAAAAGTGGTCCGTAGAATATTCACAAACAGCCGCGAGAGGTGGAGGCAGCAGAACGTCAATGGAGCTTTTGCTGAGCTTCGGAAGCTCATCCCAACTCACCCACCTGACAAAAAGCTCAGCAAGAATGAAATATTACGCCTGGCTATGAAATACATCAACTTCTTGGCCAAACTGCTCAATGACCAAGAAGAGGAAGGGAACCAGCGGGGCAAAGTAAACAAAGAGACTGGCATAGTGCAAGAAGACCTTCTTCAGGACATGTTGTCCCCAAATTCAAGCTGTGAAAGCTCATTAGATGGAGCAGGAAGCCCAGACAGTTTCACGGAGGAGCATGAAACATTAGATCCTAAGCATACAAGAGGGCTCCATCATTCCCTTCTTCCCATTGAGAGCAATGCCCAGCGATGATGAACCAGCCCAGAGAATCATCAGAATACCTAATATCTGGATTGTATGCATGTCCTCATTTTCTTCTTCTTTATCTAAGACAGAGCGAATAAAGGGTACTTCCAAGTTTCTTTTCAACTTGAACAAGTTGATTAAAATAAAGAATGAGTATCCAGGTGTACAGAACAATTTCCTGCTTATGTCACCAGTGAAACATAGGCCTTGCTTGTTGCATTTTTGAAAAGTTTAACACAGAAGGGCTGAAATTTGCAGGCAGCTCATTTTGTGTGTGTTCAAGGTTTACAAAGGGATTGAACTGAGACTTCATCCTTCTGCCAATTACCTATGCGTTTTGCCTTGTCTCTCAGCTGTTTGGACCCAAGCTTCTTCAGTTCCGTGTGGCTGTTGACATTGCATTTTTTTCATGTTGTATGGTGTTCTTTTCCAAGTGTCTTCGAAGAAATGTACGCAACTCATTTACCTTCACCGAAGAGCTTTGGTGAAGCATTATTTGTGAGCAACACATAATTTGCATTTGGGCTTTCTTTTCTTTCTTTCTTTTAAAAACACCTCCATTCATTTCACACAGGTTTGAATTGTTTGAGGTCTTGTATTTCTGGTGTGGATTTAAAAGAAATTCTAATGTGCAGTATTTGCTGAATAATAAAGGTACACCATTTAAGATTTGTTTTTCAACTTTTGACACTTCATCAGAGGGATATATCCTTCAAGCATGGCTGAGCAACAGGGACCTCGAAGGTGTTACCTTCGGTTTCCCTGGTTTTATTTTCTCTGACAAAAGTGTAATGAGAAATGTTGTTTGTGTGTATTTATATGTAAGGCTGGTACAAACAATGTTTCAGTAATGCACTTTGACTTGCCTAGATTTACATATATTGAGGTGATAAGGCACAATCCAACTGGAGCTTCTTCTTTACAAGATCCATGGGAATAAATGGGAAATCTCCATGGAAAACCCATAGAAAGTTGTGTGTTACATGGTTGTTTAGTAAATTTGGTACATGCTGATTGCTCTGAACTGTACCATGCTCCATATGTAGGAAGTTTTTGGGGTTTTTTTTGCAGAAGAAGCTCCTAGAGGACAATTCTCAAGTGGTACTTTTCTTTCCAAAAGTTGCTTGGTTCCAGAATGAATTTGCATTCTATTGGGTATTGTAATTCTGTGAACAGTGGTATATGCAGCAAACCATGATGATGCCAAAACAACATTATGAACATGATGTTGCATTATGCAAATGTGTCATTATGTTCTATTGTCTCAATGTCCGATAACAAGTGTGTTAGCCACATTTGTGTGATGAAAGTATCACACAGTTTTGTCATTTCCCTTCCTTGCTTCTCTGCAGATGCCTAAGTGACTGTTTTCTGTGCCATGTATTCTCTTCCCTCATGCTGGTGCAGCTAATCAATCTAAAGTACCTGTTCCACCTTGTTTTCCCCTTTTTATCATTAAAACAATGGCAGTCTACATTATCAAGGGAGGACTGCTGAATATAGTGAAATTAATTTGAGATTGGTTTTGGTTTAATATTTGTTGATTACAATCAACCTTTGTTTCTGTGGAATTTTGAAATCATGGTTATTCATTCTTGGATAGTTTTATGGAAACATTATATTTTTCAGATATGCACCTGAAATCTTAAATGTATAAGCACACATAAACAAGTGGAATGTGAATTTGTTACACAAAGAGACTGCAAATGCAGGTATGATTGAAGTACCTATTCTTAAAAATTATATTTGATTGACGTTTCTAGATTTGACTTTGTATTATAAAGAACTACAGCAATTTTAGTAATTCAAGGCACAATTCAGAACTTTATATGTTCATCCATTGTTGACTATGAAGGTTGCAGTGTAGAAAATTTAAGGAAGATTTGTTTTTCCTTCTCAGTTGTAGTGTTTGCCTTGTTAATAAAAAAATTATAGTTGCTTGGGCATTCAGACAGATGTATACAAGGTTTTTCCCCCTATCACAGATTGTTCATGAATTCTCTGATATGTGTATATGTGTGTTTGTTAAAGTATTTTTCTATTGAGAAACAGTTTTGAAAAAAGAAATACTGTCTTTTGTTGTTTGTATGGGTGGGAGTGAAAGACACATTGCTTCACGAGCTGCATGTTGTTCCAAAAAGATTAAAAGGTATTGTGAATAATGTAAAAGTTATTACTGAGGAATAAATGGCTTATTAACCATTGCTTATTATTAAAGTCTCTCCCTTCAAACATCTAGAAACAACAACAACAATAATAGGAAGGCATCTGCAGACTGGAAACAGAACTTGAATGAATGCCCAAGTCAAATTAAAGCAATTAGAAGGCATTTGATTGTGACTTTTAGATTACAGACCAAATTTATTTACGCTTACTAAGAAGGGCATGTTTAACCAGTGGTGCTCCCTGGGATGTGTTGTGTTTTAAAGAAGATGGCATCTACAGCAGAATGATCAAACTCCTGCCTTTTTCTATGTGACAAATATACAAAGGCTTTGATTGGACTGCCATGGCTGCCATCTTGGTTTTTTTTTTCTTTTTTCCCCATGAACACCATGCCTTATATGTCCAAGTCCTGTCTAGGATTACTCTGCTAACAAGTTTCATTCATGGTCTTTTATAGCCATCTTAGTTAGGGTGAGCCTTAAATGTTTTCACCTTATTTGTGCTTTATTTTTTAATATAATTTTTCCGTCTCTCAGAAGTGGAATCACCTGGATATTCTGGGTCCACCATATCCCTGATACCTACTTCAATCTTGGCCAGCAATAGATTGTTTACCTTCTGTTGGGGCTCATTTTAGATGCTAATCAACGTTAAAAAGTAAATACAGCTTCTTCTGGTCTTTTGGCCAAGGGAAATTGAAGGATAAGTTCAGTGGTGGGATTCAATTTTTTTTACTACTGGTTCTATGTGTGTGGCTTGGTGGGTATGGCAGGGGAAGGATACTGTGAAATCTCATTCCCACCCCACTGACCTGATTTCCAGCTCTGTTCTCCTGTGCAGGGCAACAAAAGAAGACCCAGCCGATCAGCTGGGACTCGGGAGGCAGAGAATAGATGGGGACGGGGCCAGTCAGAGGTGATATTTGCCGGTTCTCCAAACTATTCAAAATTTCCACCACCGGTTCTCCAGAACTAGTCAGAACCTGCTGAATACCACCTCTGGATAAGTTGCTCATCCTAAACAAATAGCAGGATTGGGTTTTCTAGAATGGTGATTGATGTGAGAACAATTCCAGGAAAAAAAAATCTTTTTTAAATATATTTTTTGTACAAAGATAAAGGCTTACATCCTCCTTCTTTACATCCCCCTTTTCTTCTTAATCTAGAAAACACTTCTTTAAGCAACTGTATGCAGAACATTTGTAGAACAATTTGTAGAACATTTCTAGGGAACTTCAGATATATGAGTTACAATGCTAGCAGGCCCAGCAAAAAAAAAATAGAATGAAGATTATTATGGAGAACATGGTGCTCAGGTCAGAAATGAGACAAATTAAGGCCCACAGCTACACGGGGACAGGCCCAACCCTCAGAAATTAGACCCTTGAAAATTGAAACTAACTACTAAAAATAGATGCACAATTTCCTGCTGATTTGTATGCTTCTTGAAAGAATAAGCAAGTTTAATGCATCTAAACAATACTCCCAATCCTCACCCCTAGTATCCCTTCAAAAATGGAAATGTCTGGCTCATCCACAAGTGTGACATTATTATGTTGTAGTTTTCAATCAATCCCTCTTCCAAAATACATTAAATTAGAACGGCAACGACTTCTCTACCAGAAGGTGCCTGCCTCTCTTTTAGATGCTATTGTCTGTGGAATGAATGATGTTTTAGATGCTATT